GCCAATCAGACGCAACCTTTTTCTCCCACGAAAGTACCTGCTCTCTAGCAGGGACGGAAAAGGGGGTAAAAAGGTTCTCATGAACTAATTTTAGTTCCGGCTCTTTTTGGTGTGAACGCAACATTTCGGAACTATATCGGAACTAAAGTGGGAAAAGTACTGCGGTGTGAACGCGCCTATTAAGTAGACCAACTTTAGAGACAATTCAGGTTAGTTAGGATCTCTTTCATGACCCCTTCCTTTTTAATAATTGTTTTTAATCTGTCTCTTGTGAGTTCCCCGCTTTTGTAGAAGTGCAATATTAAAACGCTGTAGTATTCCTTTATGTAAGGAAACTGTCCAGATCCTGTCAAACTTGACGACTGATATTTAAAAAAAGACAGATACCATTGGAAATGTACCCCTTATAATGCTACAACAGTATTTTAGATAGATTACGAGATTAGTGAATTATTACAGGAAGAAAACACAGATTATTTGACGGAAAGAAACCACTGTATGCCACTGTTATGCCATTAGATGAACCATTAGATGAGGGAGTTGTTCATGTGTGGTGGAGAGCTGGGAAGTTGAAGTGGTGGTGGTGATGAGGGTGAACCCTGAGTGATCTGTCAGCAGTAAATCTCTGGGTGAGAGGGAGTAAAGCCTTCGTCTGCTCAGATAGCGGGGAACATTAAGACCAGGCTGCTAAAAGCCACTAAGTCTCCCTCTTGTCTCCCTCTGTTCTGAATCTGGAGCAGCCGCCGGGCCTCTCGTGTGCTTTTCTCTCCACACATTGATCCGTCCCATCAGCCACCTGTGACTGACTCTTTTTTTCTCTTCTCACTTCCTTTCTTGTGAGAATGTTTAACAGTGAAACATCATCCTGACCCTCCCATCACACTGTGTGATGGACTTTGATCTGTTTCAGTAAAGTCTGTGATTACCACTGCTTTGTGACTTTCCTTAAGTATTGATTAAAGGGACGTCTTCGTTTTATTGACGATACATAGTTACTCAGTGGGGGAAAGGTTTTGAATGAATATTTGACCTGCAGATGTGCCGTTTCAGTTAATATGTCAACAGGACTCAAGAGCTTTCTCTCTGAAATCACCATGTTGGGAGTTTGTCTCCATGCCAGCGGTCATTCATTAACATTTGGATCAGGGATGCAAGTAAATGAAGGGAGAGAAGCTGTGAAATGTTATGTGGCAGTGAATCCCATGTGTGACAGGTGTGTATGTTGAATAATGCATAATGCTTGGTGCCATTTTTCATCGAAATAGCAAAGGAAGCATAACAACAGGCTGTGTTGAATGTTAATACGAACACGTAGTGTGTATGGACACCTACACATCTTGACAAAGTACTTTAACTTTGAAGTAAGGTTACTTAGTAACTTTATGGAAATGTTTGGCAGAGGTTCTGGCTCATGTTAGGTTAGGTGCCTAGTTAACATGTCTGTCCATCTCATGGCAAGATCTGGGTGTGAATCTCAACCAGCTGTTCGTTGATGCACGTTGTCTGTGTTTCAAATAGGAGTGGGCTGTATGGATAAAATCCTCCATATATGCTGTATGTCACTTTATATAATTTCAATATTTGTTGATCATTTGATTATTTAGTCAGCCTCAAAATATCCTAATCCAACTTGATTTTGGGCAGTTGATGAGGCAAAATAGGCTATTTGATGATTTCAACTTGGGTGTTGGGCTTTTTTCACTATATTGTGACCAAACAACTAATCAACAAGTCAAGCATTAGATAAGATTAATCATTAATACAATCATGTGTTAGTTGCCAGTTTAATTTGCACATAGCACATTTTCTACAAAATATATGCATGGTTCAAAGATAAAATATCCAGGAATATTAGCTGTTAAAGAAACCCTGACTATACAGATTGATGCACAAAGGAACATCAAATAAGGCCATCACAGCAATGAACTTGCACACCTGTAGGCAAGAAGCAGAACGAGAACAACAAAGATAACAAAATCAAGTAAAATCAACTTTATCCTATATCCTATATCACAAATAAAAATGAGCCTAAGGGGGCGTTACAATCCGCACAGTCAACAACATCCTCTATCCTCAGTCCCTCGGCTTGAATTAGAAACATCTCCTAAGCTCTTGTCTTCTACTACATCCTTCTCTCTGCAGCAAGCCAAGCTGGCTTTGATTGAGTCCCTCCTCCTCCTCCTCCTCCTCCTCCTCCTCCTCCTCCTCCTCCTCCTCCTCACCTCTGCCTCCTTTCTGTCAAGTTCAAACGCCGCTGTCCTTCCTTAAGAGCTGGTTGAGTCTGCTGATCTCCCAGGCTTGACACCACCTCCCCAGAATGCCACAGCGGAGCACAGAGCGCTGGCTAGGACTGATACAAGATCTACAGGTCACTGTTTCACACACTGGAGGCCCTGATCCTCCAGGAAGAACAGTCTACTCTGTCCCTTCTGAAGAGCGCTTCAGTGTTGTGGATCCAAACAAGTTTTGTATTGGTTTAGATCCCAAGGTACTTGTATGAGTGCATCCTGTTCACTTCCTCTCCTTGGATGACAACAGGGCAGGGAAGCGGCCTCTTTCTCCTCTCTTAGTCGACTATAAGCTCATTAGTTTTGATGATATTGAGCTTCAGGTAATTTTCATTTAAAAATGTGGCAGTGCCCTCAATCAGTCCTTTGTACTGTAAAAATAGTCTTTAAGACTACATTCACACTGCAAGCCTTATTTGAATGTATTGCTCAGATAAGATTTTTTGTTTGGCTGCTTTAAATGTGGTAAATATCAGATTCCAGTGCACTTTTCATGTTCCAGCACTGACCCGCACTCACTAGAATAACAAAACCAAAACTTCACATGCATCACACTGCTTACAGAAGCAAGAGGTCACTGAAGTCGGCTCTTATGGTTTCATCTATAATTCATAACATTCATTTAAGTCTTGAGCTTCTTTAAGCTCCGCTTTAAGGCACTTAACCCTTGCAGCGGCGTTGTTCTGTGGCCCATTTGTATTATTCTTTCAAACAATATGCTTACAATAAGACCCACAAGTAAGCCCACATATAAACTATGATGTCTCACATCTCACTTTCTCCATACTGACTTTCCTCCATCGCAGCTGTCTTCCATGTTTGAATTCACCAAGTGACTCCTAGCATCACACAATATAAACAAATGTCAGCTGAGAGTGACAAGAAAGTTGTACAAAGACTGATATGACTGTTCAGACTAAGGAAGCATTGCAGCATAATCAGACCTTATCTGGATGAGCGACACATATTAAGGTGGCCCAAAAAATAACCAAATTGATTTCAAAAGACATATTAAGGACACTTTGGCCACAGTTTGAACATAGCCTTGATAAAGTAAGCATTTCATTATTCACTGTTATACTGTATATAGTGCCAAGTCACCTGCTACCAAAAATGCACTTAATATTGTGCTTAGTGTTTACAGGAATGTATGAGCAGAAATAGAATACAACAATTGTGTCTTTGTTTTGATAATTGTATAATCACCTGAAACTAAAGATTGTTGTGTTTGTGTTAGTTTAGAACGAGCACTTAATATCTACGAAGGGTCCTCTTCCCCAGAGTCCACCATGTTGCACCGCCATGTTCTACGGTAGCTCAAAACAGAAAAAAACAAAACTTAATCTAAATAGGGCCCCAAAGTGTTGTTATGTTATCTGAAGGCCACCATAGCTTCCTAAGCACTTTTACAACTGCGAACCCTGGAGATGTTACTGCGCTCTAGTGAAGTGTTGGGTGAAGGGGGGTGTATTTAGTTGGGTGCAATGTGCAACAGCTATGATATACTGCTAAATTCACTACAACACACATATACATTAAAGTCCTTCAACGTCTTCAGTACAAATACAATGTTAGTTTGGCCAACTGAGGGAGTAGATGGCAACTTGATCGGTCACGGCCACTGTGCTATTTCTAGTTTTTGCTTGAAAACCGACTACAGCAATTAATTTATTAGAGGGTACCTATTAATCACTTAGCTCATTATTATACTGTAGCTTGAATTGTATCATTTTCAAGACTTCCTTTTAATGTTAATTATTGTATTATATTACTGATGCACCTGAGCTGTGCAAAAATGAATGTCCTCCTTTAAAAATGTTACCTCGAAAACTTGTTTATCAAAACCCTCTTCACTAGCTGATGCAAGCCTCTGGTGACTGAAGGGTTAAGCGTCATTTGGTAGTAGGAAGTGGGTGGTAAGAGCTGAGGATGGAGCGAAGCCTGTGCAGCGACCACAGATCGTTTTACGCGAGAAAATCAATCTTACATCAGAGAAGAACATAGTGAACAACATATCGTGTACCTGTGAGAAGACAGAAAAACGGACAAATCTGTGTATCGAAGGAGGAAAACGCGAAGTGATCAACCTGCTTTCAGCTCCGATGTGTGCATCACCAGAGGGACGTAAAGAGTCGCTACAGATTGTCATTGATCTCGCCTTTTTTTAAAGCTTTGACAGCGCCTGGATGTGTCATAAAATCGAGATTTGTAGTTGGGCAATAATGTGCAATATGCATGCAATGAACTCCGTGTACATGCATGCACTGGAGCTTTCTCAGCCCAGAAATTGTGTTTGTGCTTTAGCTGCCGTGGACTCCTGTAGTATGTAGCGGATTTCTGCAGCCCGTAGCTTCAAGGAGAGGATCGTTGTGAGAGGAGCATTTTACAGGATGACAATAGTTGCATTTTGCTGTAACTGGTGCAATTCTTATTATTATTTAAAACTGTGACTCATACTAGATGTCTCGGGGATGACAGATGTGTGCAAACTTATTTGTTTCATCTTATTTGAGCTTTGATAAGCTTCAGTCTGACAGTCTGGGCTTCTTCTCTGTCTCTCAGCTGGACTTCTCATTCAGCAGATCCCACCACAGAGCAGCCCATGTCAGTCTCCATTATATATTTTGATTGTAAAGTATTTTTTTTTGCGAGACAAGATACGTTTTTTCGCAAGCTTTCAATTGACCACCCTCACCAAAACAGCAGCAATTGATCACTGTTTTTCTCTGGTGATGTTAAAAACGGACGACACAACGCCAAGCATTTCGGTTTAGTAGTAAATTGACTCTCGCTGAAAGCCACGCGAGAGTGGTGCGTCTTCTCGCCCTCGTCACCTGGAAACCACAGGAGCCCACGAGACACTACGACAGGTGACCCCGGACACGCACCATGGATGATTCTGGGATCATCCGAAGACGGAGGCTGCAGGTGAGAACTTCTTTACCTTATTTGTCACCATATTGTTTTGTTTGAATGTTGTACATAAGCAACATGTATTAATTCCGAATAAGTGCAAGTGTTGACTATTTTGACACTTAGCTATTATTATATTTGTTGAATATCTTGCAAAATCATGATATTTCATTACTTTAAAACCGTCCAGCTCATTGATGTGCGAGATTGTCCACATGTAGCCTACACATACAGTAGTTACTGTTTGGAAAAATCTTAACACATCTTTGACAGTGAACAAACACAATTTGTAAAGGCAAAACAAATAAGTGCAGTGATTGAAATAGCTGCTAAATAACAGATTTGGATTCAGAATAATATGTATTTACCCTATAGTATATGCAAATATGCTCAGCAACACTACAAGTAAGAGACTGGCAGGTTTAAAGCCACTCCAGAGGAGGACATACCATATACAGTCTCTAGCAAGGTGTAATTGAGAATGAGGTTAACTTTGTGTTTTATTGCTCTTTCTATGAGGACATAGGATATGTGATTTACTAAAACGACCCCTTTTTATGTTTATTTTGGCTCTCGGACTATAAACGACTTGTGTTGTCCTTCAAAAAGGAACTGTCTTTGTAGAAGATATTATCTGCAGTGCTTGGGAGACAAGGTAGAAGGTTTTGTCCAGCGCCAAGTGGTAAAATATGTCGTAATCTTGAAATGGAATGACATTTTTGAGCACTTTACTGAGCTGTATTTTTGGTTGTTAACCCGGTTTGGCACTTAAGTCGCATTAAATACAAATATGGAAAATCATCATCCAATCATCATCCACTATAAAAAACAGTGATGAGTCTGAGCTGCTGAAAGAGACTGAGTAGTAGATTATGTTGTTATTTTTGCATGATGAAGCTAGTCACTTAGCACATATCTTGTACATAATGACAGACATGGGAAGGCGTTGGTTAAAGCTTCCCCAAGGCTTTCCTCTGTGCGGTTGGCGCTTGCATGAAATTAATCAAGTGAGGCAGGCAAAGCTTACTATGCAGGGCCATTGTCTGTCTGCCAGTGCTTTCCTGCTTCCTGGTGAATTAATTTAGAGTAAAAGTACTCAGCTGCACATTGTGCCAAGATATTCTGCTCTTGAAGATTGCTCTTCATTTATAAAATATAGACAAGCAACGTCAGAAGATTTCCTGCACAAATGTTGTTGTTCAGCTGGGAAAACATAGCAGTAATACCGCCGGTATCAGAGTTAACTCTGCAAGTGCCATACCATCCTGTTGTAAGGCCTAGTGGATTAAACAGACACTAACATTGATGTCTGTGTTTGATTAAGTAAGTAAATGACGATTTCATTATTAGTAAAATCTGTTACCTCTACCACTAGATCTGCGGGTTGTTGAAGATTTCCTGTGAACTGTTGGTGACATTTAGACTGAGGCTTTTGATAATGGTTTCTGGTAAAGTGCAGAGAGAGAAACGGAAGAAATATCAAAGATTGTAAAATGCCTATAAATACTTCCTAAAAACCCAACTGACCTATTCAAAATTATGTATTGTATGACCATCTGTCTTAAAACCAGCAGTATTCAGTTACATTCAAGGACAATTAAGAAATATTTAGTATAACAATGTAAAAACTTAACTTCTAAGGAAGTAAAACCATTGAATTTTACAAATGTTGATATACAGATAACTTTACCAACCATACCTTACCAAATTGTTGCCAGATAAAGGTGTAAATCGTTAATGTGTCATGTTTGCTTGTTAAAATGCCTGTATCAAGGAATAGTTTTAGTTTGAATATTAAATAAGCTTCTTTTGAAAAGTTGTGTGGAGGAGTTGATTTCTTCAATACACAATATTTCTACTATCAGGCAGAACTCTCACTCACTCAGATGATTCATGTATCTTTTGCTTTGTTTACATAAAAAGAAGAAATAAAAGAAAAATCCAGTTAGGAAACAGTCTTTTTGGCAGAGTTTGGTGTATGGATAAGAAGACATTGAGTCACTTTGCTCCTTTTGATTTACATATTTCTCACAAGTTAGTTGTAGTTGAAATTTAAACATGAACCCTGTCAGTGGAAATGAAAACAAACACACACACCATAGATGGACTTTGTTTCCGACTTAATCAGGAACAAACTGATAGACATACAACAAACATTCACTTACAAGATTACCGGTGAGTCAAACTTTTGATTTTAGTCAGAGTGCATAATAAGGTCTGTGCTCATGCAGTGGCTACACTAAGCATATTGTGAGTGTGTGGGTGTGTTTGTACATAACTTTCATGCCTACACGTACATATCAAATTGACTCCCACCCTCTGCCCCTATACTCTCCATTTCCATTGAAGTGGTCGATATCCATATCTCAGACAGAGGAGGTCTAAATGCCACGGATGTGGAGCAGTTGTCAGGCCCATTAGCAGAACTAATGGTGGCCTAACAGCACTGTGAGCCCTCAGGGAGGAAGACCGACCACCAGCAGCAGGACGGGCTGAAAGGGCCCGGGGCCAGGGGGGGGGGGGTGGAGAGGGGGGGCAGCATAGACCTGAGGCAGGCAGCAGCTGTGGGCTACAGTAGACCCCATTAAGAGGCTATTACAATATCTGGATCCCTTTTCTGTCTGGATCTACTTTCACACTGGAGAGAGAGAGAGAGAGTGAGAGAGAGGAAGAGGAAGAGGAAGAGGAAGAGGAAGGGGTGGGGGTGTGGGGGGGTGTGTGTGTGTGTGTGTGTGGTGTGTGTGTGTGTGTGTGTGTGTGTGTGTGTGTGTGTGTGTGTGTGTGTGTGTGTGTGTGTGTGTGTGTGTGTGTGTGTGTGTGTGTGTGTGTGTGTGTGTGTGTGTGTGTGTGTGTGTGTGTGTGTGTGTGTGTGTGTGTGTGTGTGTGTGGCATGTTTGTGTCTCGTAGAGATTACATCACTTTTCATTAATGATTGTGGACACTGAAAAAAATGGGGCTAAAACTAAGGTAGGGCTTAGTGTCAATCAATATTGAAACCCAATTTGTATCATTGATGAAAATACAATCAGGCCTCTCATTCATTGATTTAACAAACACAGCCAAACTTAAATCATATGCATGCGTTGTTAACTTAATACAAACTGTAAAGAAACTTTGAATGGTTAAAAAACGTTGTAAAATATACAGAAATAGGATCTATTTGACTACTAAGGTTCATAACATTTCTTATAAATCTTATGGAGAATCAGTTGCCAACTTCCCGGTACATGACAGTAAAAACACTGTATTGTACATTTTCCCTTAAATGTAGTCGTTAAATAATTTTAACGATGTATACCAAGAGGGAACGTTTACAATAGAAAATATAACTTGTCAGCACTCTCTGGTGGACAAACAACGTCAAGGAGACACAGTGTCTACATTTCCTTTAACGCATCTGCTTTTTAGCTTCGATGACTTTGCCGCAACAGAACACAGTGTCTCCTGAGTTCCTCATATCCTAATTGCAGCAGGCTCTAGACGGCTTCGTCACCTGGACATAAATGTGTTTGTTTTTAGAGCGCTTGCTGAAACATCCTTCTTCTTGGAAGGACTCACTCTCTTTAATGGCTACTTGCAGTCACTTAGTGTCCTGATTGATTCATCCTGATGTCTTCCTTAATTCTTCTTCCTCTCTCTCCATTTGTCTCCCTCACTTCCACCATACTCTACACTTCTATTTTATTTATTTAGCACTCAGTTTATCCTTCACCTTCAAATTCTCCTGTTATCAATCCATATATTTCTCTATGTCTCCCTTCTTCCTCACCTTCATTTTCACTTTCACCCTCTCTTTCTGGCAGCTCCACATGGCATACCATTGTGAGGGCGTGACATGAGGCTGAATATACATGAGTTAACAGCTGTTTTTGTCCAGAGAGACTTGCCGTTTCCCAGCCTGCTGTCACCAGATGCTGAATGAACAACACACACATTTCCTATATCATTCGCATGCTTTTTCAATGCATGTTTTGCATTTCATTTCTCGATGTGGTAACATAAGACGCTCAGATCAATTGTTTTGGTGGAAAAAGCGGGAAAGTCCACTGCTAGAGGAGTTTGGGGTGGATGGATAGATAAAAAAACAAAGGACTTTCACCCAGAAGTTGTTGATTTATTTATGTTGACAACTTAACTTCCGCATGTAACTTCACAATTTTCATTTCCTCAGTTTAACTCAAACTATGATCCTTTCCTAAACCTAACCCATTAGGTTGTTTAAATTCATAACCTTGACCACTTGTGGTTATATTCGCTCATCTTTGCTTTATTTGACACCTAGTTAGAGGGAAATCTTTGGCGAAAGCGGTGATTGGACGTGATGATAGTCATAAGGTCACATATTACTGTTTTCATTACTGCCAAATCAATTTTTTTTTAAATCATCACATAGTGCTGGTCTTCCTGCCAAACGCCATTATTTTCTCACATGAAACCTAAGAAAAAGAAACTAAAATGATTAGTGGTACCACTATATAAGCCTATAACTGCGGGTGAGTGTGTGTCATTGAGACAAATCGTTTTCATCTCAAGTGAAGATGTTCCTGACATCCCGAGCATTAAGGTGTGTGTGGATCGACTTACACTCATCCCATATGCTCATACACTCACACACATACAAACACAAGTCATACGACATGTCTCACCTCTCTGCTGTAGGAGTATGCAGTGCAACACACACACACACACACACACACACACACACACACACACACACACACACACACACACACACACACACACACACACACACACACACCACACACACACACACACACACACACACACACACACACAACACACACACACACACCCACACCCACACGCTGCACACACACTATCATCATTTTTCCAATATTTTGTTCTGGGCAGTGTGCCCATTTCCAATATGCTAAGCACAAGGGATAAGAGTGTGATCACTGCAGACGATCCGGCTCTCTTTGCCAAGTCCTGTCACTCACTGCCATGCCCACCGCTTTGTTCTGCCCCACCACGTCCTTCTGATGTCAGTATTATTCAACGAGGCTAGGTTTTGAACTGAGACAGCAAAGTGTAGATCAAAGCAACAGATCTGGGACAGAATATATTTGGGAATAGCTTCAAATATTTGAACTACTCTAACTGGGCCTGAATTATCGTGCCAGACATCTTTAAAGCCGAAAGCTTGAGCCCAACTTATTTGCCAAAACACACACAAATGGACAAAAGTAAGGAAAGAAAAAGCACTTATTTAAGGACTAAACTAGTGGTGTAGCAAGAAAGTGAAATAGGTTAAATGTCGTTCAATGAGACATTATTTAGACCTCAGTGTAATGACCATTGATCTCAAAGCTTTTAAGTACAACCATTAGACTGAATAATACACAGCGTGACATTTGCCTCGCAATCTGCTGTCAGTTTTGGCAGTAGAAACAGAACAGAAGCCCAGAGCAGCAGCATATTAACATTCTTCGGTTTCCAGTTGGCCTTCGCTTTATCCTTGGGTAAATATAACGCACAAAAAAACAGAACAAAATCATGTGACACCTTCTCTTCACTTTTGAACGTCCCTTTCAGAATGAACTGTATAGCGGCTGAAAGAGAATGATTTGCAGTCACTTGAAGAACAACTTTTTGCCATCAGCACATCTTCTTGTCCGATTTTAACGTATTGATCCTTCAGTAAAACAGCAGAAATATTACACTTCCAGTATTAATGACCTTTTCTGTGTGCATGCTTTTGTGTGTGGGGGGGTTATCACACCTTTCTGCTGTTTCCACCTATTTCCCCACAGGCGGATATTGATGCAGTGTGTAGTTAGTGTGAGGTTTGCTGTGTGTGGTGAAGTGTGGGGACACGTCATGACATTCAAGTGTAATCGTTATGGCAGGAAATGTGTTTTTTAATGGTGAACAATCACACATAATGATCATCCAGGCCTGTGATTACTGTTACATACCCTTTGCTTTTCTTTTATCATGTAATTACATTATTGATACTTCATATGCTTCACTTATCCGTCTTTTTCATGTCAGGATCATTTTTCTAAAATGGCCCACTATGACAATTGCTTCCTTTGATAAAATAGAAGTGTATGAATATAAATAGTTGGATTCATTGAATATAAATGTAAATGTAGACACAACCCTTTAGTTTGGGGTTATAGCAACACTGATGTAGGGCCGACATTTTCATCAACACCTTAAAATTGAATATAATATTTAAACATGGACTTGAACAATATCCAAATTGCAGGAGGCACATATTTGTTATTTGCAAAAGATGTTTCAAAATAGCCTTCTGAATGAACTATTGTGGGGCTGTGTAGCTGTATCTGCCCACTAATTATTGTATACACAAATTAATACAATGCCTGAAGAATTAAATATTCATTTGTTTTGTGAGGGAAGTGCTCACAGATTTGTTGCCCGATTGTGCTCTTTATTGTTTCATGGAAGTCTTAAATCCGGACTTGAATTCTCATGAGAGATGCGAATCAGACTTGTGTCAAGTAACACTAATCCGCACCATGATTTGGATTATTCTTTGCTCCATGCTAAATCCTTACACAAAGTTTTCAGGAAAATCAGGGCCAGTAGTTTTTTCTTAATCCTGCTGACAAACATCTTAAAAAACAACTTCCTTGGTGAAGGTAATGTACAGCTGTGTCACCATTAAAAAGATGACAGTCAGTCCTATTAAACAATATTGTACCCTTTTAGAGATTTGACTGCCTTTCCTTGTACTTTTGTTGCGATCCAAACTGATAAACCAATGTTATACTGTCTATCCTTGGTGTTGTAATATGCAAGGTTCATTTTCTTGCCTGAAGCTGAAGCGAAGTGGATATTACTCAGAGTTTTGATAGGTTGTCATGGTCACTCATGAGAAACGAAGAAGAATATTGTTCATAGAAATGCTCGAGTAACCAGTAACATGGCAACAACACGTAGCCGTCTGTCGGACAGTGAGAAAGAGAGGGAGCAGGTGTTGGGTTTTATCCATTAGCCACCCCTATCACCCCACACACACACACACACACACACACACACACACACACACACACACACACACACACACACACACACACACACACACACACACACACACACACACACACACACACACACACACACACACACACACACACACACACACACACACACACACACCTGCAGGGCTCTCTGAGTAACCCTGGCCGAGCTCACTTCCTCTCGATGATGTAACTTGCTCCGTCCCAGAAAGAGCTCCCTATGATGGGTGAAGTCACTCCCATAATGATCACTCTCTTCATTTAAATAACTAGTTGGATATATTGGGAAATACGTTGGTGTGCTCTCTTTAAGAGGTTTGGATTATAAGATCAATTTCACCTCATGTTTGTATGTTAGATATGAAGCGACAGACAGCAGCAGCTAGTTATCTTATCTTAGCGTAAAGACAGCAGAAAACAGCTATCCTTCGCCCCAAAGATTACAAAAATACACCTCTAAAGCTAAGTGAACATTATATTTGTAGGTTTAGTCTGTCCACAAACAGACATGTAAACACAGTATTTTGTAGTTTTATAGGTAGTTATGTAGTCTTATTTGTTTTAGCTTACACTGAGATCGCAAGGCAAACAGCAGATAAGCTACATTCCAACGCGGACAGAACCACTTAATCCAAATGTATTAAGAAAAATTAGCAGCTTATTAACCTCTCTAAAAACACCACTAATGGTTTAATCTCACTGTTTGATTATACAAATGAGATACACTAACACTAACGCTACCTGTTTCTCCTGCTTCGTATCTTTATGCTAAGCTATCGGCTCCTGGTTTGAGCTCCATACTAAACACACGAGAGTGGTACATATCTTTTCATCTAACCAAGAGAAAGTGAATAAGCATATTTCCTACAATATAGACCAACTTTTTTAAGTAGTCAGTGCAAAGTAGCATTTTTCATGTTTCTTTGTTCATGTGTTTACTGCTGCTTATACTGACCTTGTTGTCAAGATTGTGGTAGAGATTTCTTCAACAAGCCTTTATAAAACTGTTTGTGATGCATAACAATGTGTCTTGCAGTCTTTTCTTCTGCTTGCTGGCTCCCAATAGGTTTGCATTAAGTGCCAGATCTAATGCCTAAGTGCTGGAAAGTAAATCAGCGAGTTTGGGTTGTGAGTTTGTTTGGAGATTGTTTGGAGACGAGAGCTCCAGCTGTCAAGTCATGTTTCATCAGCTCGGCTTTGTTTGGCTTTCGTAATGCTTGTTTACTTATACAAAGACAAAGAGATAGACTGTGGGAGAGAGAGAGACACATTTCAGGAGGTCTAACAGGATGAAATTCTCGTTCTACCGGAAAACCAATTACAGTCTCTTATTTTCCTCTCAAGCTGGTTTATTATCAACCTATCTGACCCTAGTGGGGTTTCTCACTTCCTTTCGTTTTCCTATCACACATGCCTCTGATTCATTAAACCTTCTCTGACTCAAACGAAACAAATAATGATAGCTATTTGAGCAGAGACACTCGGCTGCAGAAAATAGCTCTATAAACAGTGCAGTACAGGCTGACAAAAGAAATTGATGGCAACCCGATCTTACCTTAGTCGAGTGTTAAGTGGAATCAAATTGGGAATAGATGGGCAACAAGCGCCACACAGATTCCTCCCAGTAGATCCTAATCCCATCAGAGTCCTTGCTGTTGTGTCCCGATGTCATAAATATAGCAGCAACATGTTTTAAATTGACTTTGGCTCCACTCAACCTGCTGATTCCTCTCTGAGCACTTAGCAGGGATCAGTTTTCAAACTGTGTTCCACTTGCATGAGACAAAGGAATCACAAAACTAGCTATAGATGTAACCCAGCATGAGCTACTATTTTGACCATTTTAAAAACATTTGCTACAGTAGTGTTTTAAAACATGCCGTTCGCTTCTTCTTTTGAAATAACATGCTAAGGAAAACTCACAATGATGTCCACAATAACACCTAATCTGTGTAAAGGGGGCACAAGTGAATATGGCTTTATTTGAAGGGTCATATAAGCAAAACAAATATCTTACCACTTGTTAAAGACAACTGTTAAAGAAATAGCACAGCCTAGTAATAGCTGTCATCCTCTGGGTTTCATCTCAATTATACGATCTGATGTTTTGTTCCTTTTGCATTTCTCAAAAATACTCTGTTGCTTCTTGAATATATTTCCTCCGTAATAACTCAAGAAACCTATTTATGCTAAGCATACGCAGATGTGTAGAGTGTATCAGTACAATGTGTGACCTTGAACGAATTGGATTTATGCACAACCTATCTGTATGCTAAAAGACAACAAAGTGATGTGAAAGCATAAAAACAACATCAGTGAGAAATATGATGAGTAGATATATGGATAGAAAACGCATACGGAATTTAAAAGATTGTTCAGAAGCAAAAACATTTCCTGTTCTTCTTCAGGTAACTTATCAGGCATGTGAATCTAATAAGTTCATTTGTTTCAGTATTAACTGATATTATTATTATGCCAATTCCTAATTTCTAACAGCACCTACAGTACAGTTAATCATTATTTCCCACTGTGTAAAAAGTGATTGCATGCATTTCACTCTTGTAGTGAGGCTAATTCATCTGTTCTTCCCCCTCTTCTCTTCTTCTTCTCCTTTCTCTTTCTCACCAGAAGGATCTACCTCTGCCGAGGAAAAGTAGCAGGTAAGTTTGAATTTACACAAGCTTATTTTTCTTTACGTATCTCTGGATAGATATATGTATTGAGATACTGTCCCGTATCTTTGAGTTTACTTGGACTTTCTGAAATGATGTGGACTTCATGGAATTATTTTCCAAAGAGAAATTATGGAAATATAGTTAATTCTCTGAAAAGACAATATCCACATATATGGATTTTTATATTTAAATACACTTAAGTGTGCGATAAAATACAATTTTTGGTTTACTTTACAAAAGCAAGAAGGAAAACCATTTGTCAGCACTGAATCAGTCAGCTCTGTTAAAGGAAGTGGTGGTGAAACGATGGTATTTTGCCTTCAGACTGCAGCATGTTCCCGCTCTGCGTGAGCCCTTTTCCTCTCAGAGCGCCTCTGTCGGCCCAATCTGTTGCACCAGTGAGCCGTGCGATGAACATTCAGCAGCAGGAGAGCGGTGCTCTGACCTCAACAACCTGCGGGGGCGTGAGAAGGCTGAGGTTGAGGAGGGAGAATAAAGCAGTACATGATGAGTACATGATGTGTTGGACAAATGAGTTAAGCCAACAACAAGAGAGCAGAAAGTGTATCACTGACTGTGCATACATTATGACAATTACAGTTGATCAAAGATGTCACAATACAATAACCACATGCGTGTATGCACATTGAAAGGATAAGCAGTTGCTGTAATCGCTCCTCACTTCTCATTGTGCATTAGAGATCCTTTTTATTTAGATTCAACATTTAATGGCTTTATTTTTTGTGTAGTTTTTGGCAATGACGATCTTAAGTTCAAAACTCCACCAATTATACAACAAACTATACTTAAAACATGATAATAAATAAAGAGCTAATAGAGTCCAATTCATGAGTGCGAGAGACATAATGGTGTGAGTAAAATGCAGGAATAAGAACTATATATACATGAGACACACATTTTTACCGTGTCACAAGGATTTCTTTAGTTGAAGCAAATGTTAGCTTTCAGGAATCTGAAATAGAAACATTTCTAAATTCATCCTGTGCTCTCATTGACAATAAGTTATCTTTGAGCCAGTAGCGCACCCCAACATGTAGTTAATGAATCTCTTTAATCATTTTTAGAGAAGAGTAGAAGATTCCCTTTAGTATCAGACTTTTCCATCGCTATTGGAGTTTTTGCTCATTACATTTTTATAAATTGAGAGAAGAAGACTCTCCTTATGTCTATGAAACTTTCTTCACTATCAAAGCATTGACTATAGTTGTCTGTACAAATGGATACATTGAAGACAGGAACTGCAAGTAGCTCAATCGGCATACTTTTAACAAACTTAAAACCAATGTTTGCCAACAAAAACAGGGCTTAACTTGTAGTCCATTGTTTAAAAGTGTTATTTTGTAGATAAAAACATTATAATCCTGAGCAGAGAGTAGGAGGAAGAGTCATTTCTTATTTCAGTTCTCATTATGCTCTTGAATTAAATGTTTAATAGAAATTCCTTCAAAATGTCAACAGTAACGCCAGATTTAAAACGGGAAGCTTCGTAAAGCAAGATTAGCTTCCTGGAGAAAGAGAAGTCCGGTTGGCGTTTCCACAGAGACGGGACTGAATTAGAAACCTCTGGAGACACTTTCTGGGCCATTTGGAAAACAGTGTGTTTGAACCAAACTGATTAAAGTGTCTTCATTTGTGGCACAGACATGTTAAACTGAAACACCAAAGAAGAAAATTGTGACATTTGAGCAGAAAAACTGAGCACAGTCTGTCTTTAAATGCAGCTAATTCTCTAATTATGGCGCATTTCCACTACACGGTCGGCCTCGGCCACACTCGGTACGGCTTGGTACGGCTTGGCCGCGTTGGGCCTTAACAGGGCCGACTAACTTCCTGCTGCGCTTCCATTACAGTTTAGGAACTGGGGTAGTTACTATAGTAACGCAGTGTAGGCGGAGCCGTGACGTCATCTTCAATGAGAACTCCAGAAACACAACACAGCCGTTAGCTGTTAGCACTCAGAGCTCACAGCTCCTCATATCTGTTCAGAAACTCGACAAAAGTTAAACAAGTACACACCACAGACTGCCTGTGTCATGGTGAATACAGTCGCTGCTTTATTTATGTCTGTAGGCCGTTGTTGTGAGTGTGGACGGTCGGGGCATATACTGCGTTAGCTTAGCCAATCTCCATCTAGAAAAACACGCATTTTAAAAGATTTTTCGCCTGCCGTCTGTCTGCAGACTTGTCAAAGCATTAATTCATGGTTTTACTAACCGGTATCAGTATGTTGTTACTTCGGCATCATTTGAAACGTGTATTACAATTAAATCACGGTCAAATATGCCCATCTTGTTGTAGTTCTAGCCCTCTTGCCAGCGCTCCCCCCCCTAGTTTAGCATACTCAGCCCGACCTCAGCCCTGTTTGTTGGCCCCGATAGAACCCACAATTTTGTCGGGCCAGAAAAGAGGTGAAAAAGTGGGCCCCGGGCCGGGCCGGGCCGTAACTAGGCCTAGTGGAAGCGCAAACCAAAAACGGGTACGGCACGACACGGCACGCTTAAAGCTGAGCTCCGCGCTTGCAGTG